AACAGTTATCTCTCTCTTGTGCTTTTCATTACATCTTTAACTAGGACTGACTTGACTAATGCAGTTTGTATTTTAGATGATATATGGGTATTATTTATTCATGTAGCCGCTGACGCTTTCCATCAAGAATGAAGAAGAAAACCAGAGCACAAGACAAATAATGGAGGGATTGTTTAGTTAAACAATCACTCTTCTGAATCATGACACCTCATAGATTCCTACAAAGATAAAACACATATCCACATATAGTATGCCGCTGACCGGCACGCATCTGCCCAACTCCTACGCACACATGCACAGAAAGACAGATATTTCCATTTTTTGCATTGTTTTTAATATTTGCATCCGTGTGGTCTTGCAGTACACTGTGTCCTCGTCAGTCCTCCTCTAAAACAGAACATGTAAATATGAGCGTAAGGCGTGGGACCTTTAGAGCCTGCAGTACACAGGATATGTATACACTGTCACTTTTAGTGTTTTAGTATATTATACAGTGTTAGTGTTAGTATTAAAATCCAGTTGGATCTCTCTGTTTGTATAACAAAACACAATGTTTAGGAAAATACTTCAGTTTAAATTGATCTTTTCTTCTGTATCTGTGTTTCCTCAATCATTAGTATCAAATTACAGGACACCATTAGGAAATGATTCACAGACCCGTATCGATATACATAAAATAAATTTTCAGTTAAAAAAATGTGGTTTTATGCAAAAGTTTTAAAATTTTAAATCAGCTCTGGTCCAAGCTGAAATGTGGCACACGATAATATGAAAAGACGACACAGGGAATTTAGATGCTGTTCTGATTGTGTTATTAGCTTTTGAGGTACTAAAAAACTGCATATTCCACTGCATAATACATGTATGATAAATTGCAATGAGAGCAAATGCTCAAAACCTGTCATCATCTAATCATTTTAGATTAATTAGCAATAAATTATACGTAATTATACCTCCAGAACTTTACCACCATAAAATAACATCAGCCCTCAGTTGCTTTCCTATCATTAACACATTCTTTAGGCACCGGTGTTCATTTCACTATTGATTTAATGCCACTAAAATGCAGTACAACCTTTGAAAAAACCTAGAGCTTCCAGACTAATCCATATCTCCTCTTTAAAATGTTCTCAAACACGGTCTTACTTCTCTACTTCATCCAATACAATACTGAACACAAATACTGTATTTGAAGGTTAGTACAACTCACAACACACACCCGTACACACGCACCATAGCAGAAGCTTTGAGAGACTGAACAAAAGCGGAGGAAGGGGTCAGTGTTTCAGCTGCAGCCACGATACAGCACAGCGTGGGCAGAGTGTGTGAAATACTGTAGATATTAAGTGCTTTAAATGAGTTTTACCCTCTAAACGTTTCGTAGCTGTATGTAATTTGTCTTTTTTTACAATATAACGTGTCAAAGCTATCATGACATTAGCTGCTTTCGGGGCTTACTAAGACGCGTTGAATAAGAAGACAATGATGTGACAGTAAAGCTTGTAACGCGACATGTTTTGAAGGATTATTCCCTGAGGGAGGTTCTCTGTGGGTGCCAAGTGACTGACATGAAGCAAAGCCTGATGTTATTCACATTCTGCTGTGAAACACCTCAGCATGTCACATAATGCATAATGACAAAATGCGGGGTCTGCCAAATCCAAAATGAGCTTTTTATGTTTGCTTGAATGGCTTTTCCACTATAGGTTCATGCAAATCAAATGTTTTCTGGGGCCTGCAGCCATCCAGACCACTGATGCTCTCTTCAAAAACACCAGCAGGAATAAGGCAAATATTGGCATCTAAACACCCACACACACCCGGTGTACTGTACTAAGTGGTAAACAAGCAGCCTCTTCACAAGCAGTACTTGAAAAAGGCTGCCGGGCTTGTTTAGATGATGTGTGATCTCAGTGTGGAACACTTTTTAAAGTACCATCAGAGAAGTATGGACATTAAGAGTGACCTTATCTTTGTCATTATTTTTGTAATTTGAAGAGGCTTGTAAATATCCTGTAGTTAACATACATTTTTAGTGTCTGAAAAGGGTTAGTGGGAATTTAAGTCAGTCCTTTAACATTACGTACTGGTCAGTTTTCACATGTAAATACTGGAGGAGAAAACGTATTGCTCAAAGTACAGCTGAGGTTGATGGAAATGTCACTAGTTTTGCATGTATTTTAACAAGAAGCAAACCGGATTTATGACATGATGATGGCGCTTAGTGAAAAGTCAGAGGATCACCGGAGTTAGGCTACTCCAATTCATCCCGAGGGGAACATAAATGTATGTATCAAATTTGTCATTTGTCACCAAAGTCATAATGATTCATCCTCTGGGGATCCTAAATAACTGTCAATCCATAGGTGTTAAAACATTTCAGTCCGACCTAACAACCGAAAGACCAACATTGCCACACCACTAGCATGGCTAAAAAACAGCCTTTTACCAATACCTGTCGCTTATTTTCACATTTAATTACTGAGGAATAAAACATCCATTTTTGGAACTTTGTTCCAACATAAAAACATTTCCTCAGCTGAGAGGCTTAAGTTTTAAAATGCTGTGTTATTATAATTACCAGCTTCATGTCAGCATGAACATTCAGATTTTTCTGAATATATTTTGTTTGGTTCTTAACAAAACAGAAGTGCCTGAAAACCAAACAAACATGGATGCCTTACATCAACCAAAGTCAGTTGTTCAAGATAATTAAACCCAACTTTATTATATTGTTGTTAAGTATTTTTAATCCTCACATGGCAAACTCTACAGCCATACAACTAGAGTCCGACTGATATGGGATTTTGTAGGCCGATACCAATTTTGATATTTGATTTTAAAATTCAACATTCCGATTTATCGGAACATAATAACATAAACAAAGACTAACATTTAGATGTAGTTGTGCAATCTCACCGAAATAACATGCAGTTAAAACATAATTTCTTTAATTGTTATAAATAGTACTTTGAACAAAAGTACAGCTGATCATGTCAGCTGACTGCTGTGTTTTGTGGTGGATTTCATGATTGAAGGATCCATCTTCCGTCTCTCCATTTCTTTTTTGTTGTTCTCAGTTATATAGTAACAGAACAGGGTGGGTAAAGGAGAGGATCTGGTTCATGTTTTTCACAGGCGATGTTCAATGCCCTATGAAAAAATCCCTGCAGAGTGATAAAACTGCAGCTGTGGTTTCTGTGTGCCTGTGTGAGAGACAATTCATATGGAACAGTACATACAGGACAGTGAGCTTCCCATCTGTATATGTGAGAAGCATACTGGGAGGAGATATTGAGTTTCAGTTCCTTCCAACGTTGCTTCCTTCTGAATTTCATTTATAATTTACTGCCCCACAGTTCTGTCTGCAATTAGGATACAGAGAGCAAACAAGCTGAGGCAACCCCCCCCCCCCTCCACTTGCTAGCACGCAGTTGTTCTTATGCCGTAATGGACGACCCGGGACTCCCTGCTGCTCCCTCTAGCTGCCCTACTTTCAAGCTGCAGAGGTATTAAATCGGCCTCCTCATCTCTTGTGCCGCAGTTTCAATGGAGGCCACAGCTCTTAAAGTCCTGCCTGCATATGTGAAGACACGTAAAGCATGTGGTGTCATCCACTACACTGTTTATTTACCACACTATTTATAAGTTGTGTGCCCAAGGTATGCTGCTATAAAATGGTGAGAGCTACCTGACTTTGCATTTAGGACCAGGAATCAGACACAAAGCTAATATCACTTCATGTTCTCAAATTTAGGAAATTTTATAAAAGGCATGTTGTTCAACCTGCTGCTGCTGTCGGACCACTGGACTTCAGAGCAGCTTCTTCCCCCTATGAGACTCCTAAATTCATCCTCAGCACCATGTAAAATAGTTTTATTTGTATGGCCTATTATTTATTAACCCATTAGCTGTATATAAATTTTGTATATAAATCATCATGTTGCAAACATTGTGGGCTTTCCTTTTATATTTTAGCCAATAATCATACACATATAGGACATGTGTCATGCATACTTAATGCAGACTCAGGATTCTGTGACTTGCGTGAACATTACACAACACGTTGTACAATCCTCCTGCTGCAGTGTGCTGAACATTCCCAAGCCAATTAACACCTTTACCAGAGAAAATAATACTAATCATCATCTTAATGTGTTAACTTTCTCATCACACATACATACACTGAGGCAAAGAGTGTGGACAGAAGTGACAAGTGATTTTGCATAATTTGAGGCCTTAAAAATATATGATTTTAAATGCTTTTTCTGGGACAGAAGTGACTAAGTATTCAATTCCTGTATATGAGTGCAATTCTGAGGTACTTTGCTTAAGCATTTAACAAGACATATTGTACTTTCTATTTCCTTTTCAGTTAGTCACTTTGCAAATGAAGATTTTACAAACCTAAATTGAGGACATCAAATACAATGCATTGTCATAGAGCTGCAACTAACAGTTATTTTCACTATCAATAAATCCATTGATTATTTTATCAATTAAAGGACTATTTGTTTGGTCTATAAAAAGTCAGCAAATAGTCAAACATTTCCATCACAACTCTGCTGAGTTCAAGACACCTTCAAATGTCTTGTTCTGTCCGACTAACTGTCCAAAACCCAAAGATATTTAGTTTACAATCATAGAAGAAGAAAAAACTGAAATATTCACACTTGAGAGGCTGGAACCAGTGAACCATTGCTATTTTGCCTAAATAATAACTTAAAAGATTGACCTATTATCAAAATAGTTGTAGAGGAATCTTGCATCAATAGACTAATTGATTAATCGATTAATCATTTCAGTTCTACATGACACTTATACAGTAATCCAAGAGTATATACAAAGGATACAGATAGCTGTGCATTTTCAAAAGGCTGCTAACATGTTATATACCATACTGTACACATGATGTACACAGATGCGTATATTAGATAGCTAGATGGATAGATAGATATAATACTAGATACTATAGACTATAGACTATAGATATAACACCGGCAAGAGCCAATTTTGCTTTCATAGTGAGAACTTTTATTGTACTGCTAGAATATAATACGTACATTTCACAATTTGTACTTGTAACACATTTTTAACAGATAAGTAAAACATCTGAATTCTTTCTCCATCACCACAATTAGTGCCGGAGAATTTCAGATGGCAAAATGCTGAGCAGCATTTACAAAAATGACTCATTGCTGGGTGGGTGGGTGTGAAGCACTGATGAGCACGCCTCCAGATTTGGCAGGGAGGCCATATTTATCACATACTATAGTATACTGTCTATACATTGTTGTGTGTGCAAGTGGATTCATGAGTCCTTTCAGTCTAAATATATCACTATATGTCAAAATGCCTGTGAGTGTGCAGGCAAGTGGTCATGCTTCTATAAGCAAACAGCATGGCGCCCACATGTATTATATGATGTAAGCTGGTTTTAGGACAAAGGGTTACAGAATGTGTCTTAACATGCATTTTATTTTAAAGTCCGGACATTAAAGTGTGTGTAGAGGTGTGTTTGTTTGCGTTGCTCAGGTACGTAGCAGGGTGGAGCTCCGTTGTATGTGGGTTAAAGGTTTCCTTTATTACATCTATTTCTGGCCTGGGCTGATTCCTGGAGTTGAGCGATACCTTTTAGTCACGCCATGCTCTTCAGTCCTCTCATCCCACATTCCCAAAGCAAAGTCACACTCATCTCTGGGACATTTCATGCCTGTGCAAATCAATAAATTCCTCAGACCAATGCCCAACCACACCCTAAAATAGCTTTGAACACCTTTACCTGGTTTCCGTGTACAGCTGATTCCAAGAAAAGGGCACAGCTCTCTCTGACACCTAGAAATGTTCAATAAACTCCTTCACGACACAGCCAGTTTGCTTGTTTAACACTGAAAGAAGGCAAAGAATAAAGGAGAAGATTGTAGTCATCAATGAATCAAATGCTGACAATTATGTATATCTGAGCAGATTAAAGCATCATGATTATCAGGCAGGATGTTTAAAGTCGGTTTTAAAGTCAGCCGGTGTTGTTGGTAAAGTGGCGAGCCGGTGATACGCTGTTTAGTCTAACAAGGACCAACGGGAGCAATTAGAAGCCAGCTGAGTCACAGTGGTTTCCCTTGTGTGTTCAACCCTGCCCTCTGTGGGATATCCCCTTCTCACTTTGGTTATATGCACACAAACTGCACATTTCTTTCTGCACCTACACAGAGCAGGGACCTGCCTTGTAAAATAGGATCACTGCCCTGTGAGGCAGGACCTTCTCTGAGTTGTCTGGATAACTTTACAGAGACAGTAATTACTTGTACAAACAAAAGTAGGTAAATAAACTCCAAGTCTAAAGTTGACTGAGTTGTTGCCTAAGGGGGTCCTGTGAAGCTTCTTAGAACCACAGAAAAAACAATTACAGGTAGCATTGAAATACAGGTTTCCCTGGGAATTGAACTTGTTCACCCTCTGAAAGTGAGTTCATCTTTCTGAGATTAAGAACAGATAAATCCTGTCTTCTCTCCAACTGCTACAACATGGAGAGGAATGTCACTTGGGGCCAATTTCAAGTGTTGTTTCTTGTTCTTAGAAAGCTCTTCCTACCTTTACTCACATGTGTTTAAATTGCTGATGTCATAGAGGAAAACTTTACTAAGTGTGTTTATGCACACAACAGCTCACACACACACACACAGACAGGTTGATGTGAAGTGGCCGCTCACTCACTGAGATCTCTGGCTTTGCAAACTCACACTGCAGCCAAAACCAACACTCTCACGTCTGTGAGACGTAGCATCTTAGCATTGCATTTGTCTCTGTCCGAAGATTTAAAAAAATCTACATACCAGCATCTCTAAAGCTTATTAACATGTTTTATATCGTTGAAGTTGCCAGGACCCTGCTTCCAGTCAGGCTAAGCTAACCCAATCAGCATCCTGGCTTTAGCTTAATATTTAATGGACACACATGCAAGAAGCAACAAAACTATTTCTTAATGTTGTAACAGGTCCTGTCCTTTTTATATACAGTGGCAATTCTGATTGTTTCAATACTAGAACTACAGTGATATGACACATGACCCTGAATATGGAAACATAAGATAATATTAAACACATATTATGAAAAAATTACCTATATTCTTATGTGACGAGAAGTCTTTGTTCCAAGAAGCAGGTTTAATGAGTTATATACATGACTTAAAATCTTGAAGCATATCATTTCTGGAACCTGAACTCTCACGTTTTCTTGGAAAGCTTTTCCAGATAACTCAGCATAAATAAGCTGCTTCTTGGAACAGTCCCCAGGTGTAATTTACTGTGAAAAACAGTCGCCTCGAGCAGACATCCAACTTGTTATTGTAAATGGCAGCTACAGTATAGCAGATACCCATCTGTAGGGAATGTGGTCCGTCCAAAGCAGATGAGAGACAACACTTAAAGAAGATGTAATGTTTTCACACAATGTTTTTAAAACGGTTGTCAGAGAAGCCAGAGGTAACGCCCAGTATGCACCTCCACGCACGCACAGGTGAGATACAAAATCACTTAAATTGGATTTGTCTATTAGAAATGATCCAGTCCTAACCAATACAGGTGCACATGACAACCGGCAAATTAAATCAGCTGTTTTGTTTTTCACACCTCTACCACTATGTTAGCTGCTCTGCCAAACTCTGTAGTAAATACAACTCACCCTACAGTAGTAAGAGTTCAGGAATTTATCACACACAACCCACCATTCGACGCATGTACGTAACGATTTCTTATACACTCCAGACCAGCTGTGTTTGCCTCCACGCAAAATACATGGGCAGAGAGCCAGAGTAGGTGCCAAGCAACCATAAAAGTGCCAGTCAGACTCACTTATTCATGCACGGGATGTGGTACAACTTTAACGGGAGGTACGCGGAGTATGGAATATTAAATTACATGTTGTCACGTTCTGTTCTGCTTCTAAAGCAGGTCTTTGAAGATTTAGCTTGAGTTCATGTCTTCACATTACAAAACTATTCATAGAGATGCAACAAAGGGAGATGCTTTCTGCTGTTGTTTGTTTGCAGTGATCATCTGTTATTCACTATTTGGGTGAAAACCATTTTGGATGATAGGAGTAGCCTAAAAAGTAGCCATAAAGGCCTGCCAACCACGTTTTACTGCCCTACTTATTTATCAAATGAATGAAAGCTGGCCAGTTTTCAATTAATAAACTAAAATGTGTTAATGAAGAAGAAGATATACTTTATTAATCCCGCGAGGGAAAACTCTATGTTTTTACTCTATTATTATGTTAGTATTTACACACAGGTCCGAAAGACACACATGCACAAACAGGACCCATAGCAACACATGGAGAGATATCAGAGTGATGGGGGCTGCCACTCAGTGCAGCGCCCCGAGGTGCCCAGGAGGTGAACTGGCACCTCTCCAGCTACCAGTCCATGTTACGTAACTCTGATCCAAGCTAGTTCGAACTGGCGAGTTCCCAGCCTAATCCTTACGGAGTGAGCTACTGTCGCCCCAATGGTGAAAAAACACAGATCCTCGGGTCACCGTTTTTGTTGTCACTACCGGGTTATCCCTTCACAGCATGAGAATGCTAAAGTACTACGTAGCGATTTAAAAACAACCTGAATAAAGTTGGCTGTTTTTAAAGGGAAGAAAATTATAAATCGACATATGTGCATCAGTTTATTCTGTTTGTAAACCTCCAAACTCCCCCTCTTTGTTCTTTTACTTTCAGCAGCCAATTGTATTTTGAAATGACGGCCGGTGCCAACGTGGAGTAGACAAATGTGTCACAGCCAAATAAATAAAACCAGCATGCCTGAAATGGGAGGGTATGATGAATTTACTTAAAGCATTTCTCACAAAGGAACAAACTGCTCATCAAAGTGGAAACCCCTTGAAATGAAAGTGCAACACAGTGCGCTTGACAATGCATAACTTGCATTACTGTGGCCAAACCAAATAAAGAATTTTAATAGCACCAGCTCTATGATATACTAAAACATTATTTTTGTCTTCATTATGAAAGTAACATTTATTTTTGGGGCTGGAATCAAACCCAGGACTTTCGCCTTTGTATGTGGTGCACACGTCTACCAGGTGATCTAACCGACGCCCATAATGTTTACATTTATGTGACAAAAACAAATTGACAAGAGCGAATCACGTTAAAAAAGACCAATACCTCGTGTATTTTAAAAGGTCAAGCTGTTTGTCTTGTATGATGTGAGCACTCAATAGGGGAAATATAACTTCACTCAAACAGTGACATTGCAGTATGTTTCTATATTTACTTGACTCTCCTTTCTAACGGGAATTTTTGGCCAGTTGCAGCACATTTGCCCATGGCTCTGTGTCTTGTCTCTTTTGTGTAATATTGCGTGTTTTGACAGTTTGAGTGGAGGGGGCCTGGGACAGAGCAGAGGGCTGTCAGGCTGAGAACAGGCTAATAAGGTCAGTCAGACAGAGCAGGACACTGCAGTAGAGCAGGGACCCACACTGGCTGGATAGACTCCCCTGTACCGCACCTGGCCCACTATACTACAATTTGAGTGGGTAACGAAAACAGTCCTAACTTTTGGGTAATTCATCACACATTGGCCTTTGCCTCCCACACATTCGAGCAGACACCCTGACTATAAATTAAAGCTGTATACACTATGGGTTACTACACAGATTGTTCCTCAATCCCTGTATTTTTTCAACAAATATGTCATGGCATACTTGTTTGTAAATGTCAAACAGTAGCATGTATTTGTCTTGAAATTGCTATTTTTTAATTTTGTGATTAACTAACTAACTATGTATAAGCCAGCTGGCTTGCAGATGATAGGTAACAAAAATCTGCACAAAGAGATGAAAAAGTACCTGCATACTTTTATCTTATTCTCAAGTCTACAAGGACAACATTTATCCACAAACACCTGAGGAAGACCATATGTGGTCCAAACCTTGTCACATTCATGTAGAATGAAAGAAAGATTGTGAATTCGACAGCAGTGTGAGGGTAGTTTATAAAAAAAAAATTAACCCATGTAAAGCTTCAAGAAATTAAATATACTCTGGCTTGACTTGGAGTTCATTTCTGCAACATTTGTGTATATGTCCATAGATTTTCCAGGCCTTGGATATGCTTTTCTTAATTGTATATGATTGTTCCAATAATGCAAAGAGACTACAGCCAATTCAGATACAATAAAATGTAGAAAAGCATTTGATATCACAAGACACAGCGTTTCTCAGAGGTTGACACAATACATTCTGATTCTAATTTGAGTAATTTTTTGGAAAGGCGGTTTTACTGTTTAATTAGTTCTGAGTTATGGCTGAAGTAGCACAGTCACGCCCTTGTTAGCCGGCAGTGGGACTGTCACCTCGCAAGACCATCAAGCGACCAAGTGAAGCGGAAGCTGGAACAGCGTGTACCAAAACAACACCATCACATCGACAGTTAGAGCAGACACTTGGCTTTTGTTCAGCACGGGTCACTGTGGACAGTGACTGGACAAACCGATCCGCTGTCACCCCTGAACCTAAAGTCCCATCCCACGCCCAGCTGATGTTGCCCCTGATTTGGTCTCAGGACAGCTGCAGGAAAGTGAAACACACTTGCATTCTGTTCTTGTATTGAAGGAAATCAAATACTGTGATTTCAATCAAAATATTTTATTTTATATATTTTATATAAAAAATTAAGCAATGGTCATTTAGTTAATATCTGGTATCAAACTGCTGTGTAACGGTCTAAGTGATAGTCAGACATTTATTTGACACTAATGCCCCCTGTTGTTTGATTGTAGTAACAGCAACAATTCTTTCTTAAACAAACAGACCCATAATAAAAACATGCCTCCAGTTTATCTGAACACATCTCTGAACTATGAACCTAAATATGACGGCCCCATTAACTATGTTTATCCAAAGTCTGACACTGCAGTCTACTGCCCACTGACCGCTGAGTCCTGTGAAGACTCCAGCTGCCCCTTGAGCTCGGCAAGCTGTCTCTCCATGTGGTAGATATCTTCAGATATTTGCCTAAGTAAAACAAACACAGTTTGGTGCCTTTCGGAAGTTGTTGCACTTGGAACAATTTGCCTCCAAATGGCCTTCTATATGGTACAGTAAATCTTTTTCTTGTCTCATTCATTTCTATTTAAATGTATGAAAAACAACATTTGTTCCTTCCTGTCTTCCTACCTATACTTTACTTCTGGTTTGTTATCAATATGTTTTGAAATTCCCATCCCTAAATAAGTGTATATAAGCACTTCTTAGTTCTACACATATGGATGGAACTATTGCTGGTGTTGTGTTTGCATTTATTTTTACCGGCGGAAAGCCTGGGCCCTGCTCAGCTGGCAGTGGAGGCGCTTGACGATGGCTTCGTAGCGCCTGTTCTGGATCTGGAAACACACATGCAACATTCAGTTTGTTTAGTTTTCACTGAGGGTACAACAGGAATTCAGTTTATGATCGCTGGGTTAAAATCATAGTATCTTTATTTGTGGATTTACATTTCAAAACCAGATTAACCGCCATCTGGTGCAATTATGTAAATTGCTATTATTAACTAAAAGGTATTTCTTCACTAATATGAAAATGTTACTGTACCTTCATCTGTTGTACTACAGGATTTTTATAAACATATTAATTAAAGCCACATTGCTCCAATAAGTCAACAGAAAATTCATCTGCAACATTTCTAATTCGTTGATGCAAAAATGGCAGCAATTCAGTATTTCCAGGTTCTCTAATATGAACATTTTCTGTTTTTTTGTGTTCTTCGTAAACATACAACATCTTTGGGTTTTGGCTTCTTGGATGGTTGAACACACCAAGACATTTGAAAATGTCACCATGCAGCCATTTGCTGATATTTTATAGACTATGTGGGTAGTTAATTAATAGTTTAATACTCTGTAGATGAATCAATAATAAAATAATAATCAGTGAAATCACAGCCCTAGTACAAATACTCAGTTATTTCACAACATATCTTATCTGCCATACCTCAATGTCTTTCTTCATCTGAGTATGAGTCTCAAACTCTTTTTGCAATTGCTCTCTCCTCTCAGCTGTCGTCTTCTCCATCACAGAGATCTCTCCCTTCAGAGCATCAATCTCTCTCTGCAGAAAAAAAAATGCAGACAAACGAAATGGTTATGGGTTCTGCAGATTGGGAGCAAAAAGGTTCATATGGTATCAAAGGAAAGCGAGGCACATGCTGTTAATCAAAAAACAAAACAACGACGATATGGAAAATTTGACATTGGAATATAATTAAGGATCAAGGATGTCAAATAAATTTTCTCCACCTTTGCCAACTGCACTGTGTTTCCATTTGTATTCACCAAATCTTTCTTAAGCTCCTCTTTCTTCTGTGTCAGCATCTTGACCAGCGCTCTCTTCTCCTCCAGCTCTTTATGGGCCTTCGTCTGGCTTGATGCAAGCAAAACAGCTGCTCTGTGACTCTCCATCTTGTTTCGGTAAGTGTTGAACCTTGCCAGTGATATGCGAGCGTTCTCCTCCTCCTCAATTATACCAATCTGGATTTCTGTCCTTTCCTTGCTGATGGATGCCCAGCGATCACTCAGGACATTTATCTGCCGCTCCAGGTGTTCCATCTTGCCCTCCAGTATTAGGACTTCCCTCACGTTAGATCTCAGCACCTGAGCTACCATCTCGCCTTCCTTCTCCACATCTGAAAGAGTTGCCTGGAAAAGTAGGCATCACAGGTTCCTTTGAACACTTCCTTTGCTAAAGCAGTAATACAATAACTGAGCTATTATCAATCAATCTACTATGCATGCCAGATGAACACAATCACAATATAACTTGTATACTTCCTTTAACTACATTGTAAATATAAATGACTAGTCCATTACTGCAATGAATTTAAATAAAGCTTCTCATTTGTTAAAAATATGAGTTATAGCTTGAAGCATAACATATTCCTTAAAAAGTTTAATTGAAAATATAAAATATTTATAATTTTGGCACTATTACATTTGACCTTACTCCTGCATTTTTTTTTTCAAACAATTTGATGGCTGATGTGGCCTTGGTACACACACTCCCCTCTTTTTCTTACAAATTGCATATTCGTTTCTGGAAAATAAGGTCCTGTGGGCACAGTACCAATGCATCACAATATTGGTTGTTAAATTAAATTCAACAAATATATTTGTGTTAATTGCCATCTATTATTGATTAGGGGCACTACTTCTATTGCTAATAGTTGATATAAACACTACTTTATATCGTACAATGCTTGAAATGCATAATAGAGACAATATAGGGGTTTCTAAGAAGCCTATGGTGAATTAAGCAATGGGTAAACGTGAACCTGCAGGGAGCTGAGAGTCTTCTGTTTCTCTTTCAGACCCTCAGTCTGGGCATAGCCCAGATGACTGACATCCTCCACTGCCTTGGTTAATGAAAACCCAGGCTTTTCCTGTGTTCCTTGAGAGAGTTAATGAAAGTGTATTAAAGTTTCAGTTTAACAACTGTTATTGCAGTTAACAGTCATATTTCCACTTATAATACACAGATCAGCAGCCAAGAAGTTAGGTCTTGCTTAGCAATATTTCCCAAAGGTCATCTTTTGATTTTGGATGGATTATACACTCCTTGAACACATAACAAAATGTTTGGGCTTTAAACATGCAAGCTAACCCACAAGTTAGCTAACTGGGTTATAGTTACAGATAAACTAGCACAAAAACATTCATAACGAGTTCAAAGCTCAAAACAGGTCTAAAGTGAGCTAACATTAGCTAATAATTAATAAATTGCTCAAACTCAAATTTTTGTCAATAAGAGTATTTGAATAATAAATGTTATCATACCATTTTCACCGGCAACTGAATTTGACATTTTGACATCAGTTTAGCTAACTAAACATTAGCTAACGTTAATCTTCGAAAAATGGTGACGTCAAGGAGTTTACTTCCTTTATTGTGGCTAAAATAATTTGTTTAAATTTTTGGGTAAACTTTAAAGTTTCACACTATAGCTAGCATTGCTAGGTAACTGCTGTCAAAATGTCAAACTTTAAAGCAGGTGGTAAGTAAGATGATAGTAACTAGCGAGTTTAACATGCTTATTTAATCTGTTTCTTTCCGGCTGATGAGTTGAGTGATTTGTTCAAATGACTGGATCAGGAGATGTTCATGTAGATGCTGCAGCTGATAATTAGCTCCTTCAAACTCCGCAACATTTTAGTTTTTCATTAGTTTCTTTCTTTGCAGCTTTATTCTCTGTTATTACCATACAGTCTATGATTATTACCTATGACAGAAATGACATCCGGTTTGGGTTAACGGACCTTGACCTTGACCCATAGCCTTGACCATGGTGGGTGATGGCCCCAGGAGAGGAAAGAGCCTAGGTGCCATGCTGGTCCAGCTTAGACTTTTCATGTGAATATGAAAACCACATTATCATTATCACTAGCTTCTTACTCAAATTAAAAAGAAAATGCACTACAGAATTGTTTCCTGGGTGTATAACCGTATATATTGTTTAATTTGATATATTTTACGTTACCATATTCTAAGATACATTTAATTACCTGTGTATAGCATGAAGAGACTACAAACGTTCATTTCGTTGTTACAACGTTGTGTTGTATAGTGATAAACTACCTTGATTACTGACAAAAAATGAATAAATTAAATAGGTATTTAAGCAACTGAAGCTGTGGAATGCGAAAAAATAACGCTAACTGCCGATACAATGGAAAAACTACACTTTCCAGAGTTCACTCCTGAGACTCCTCCTTCCCCAAACTACATCCGGTCTCTCTTAGGCTAGTGCAATGGTCTTTGACACTTGTAAACATGTGAACAACACGTGTGAATATTGTTTTACTTTACTCATTGCTCTCTAAATGTTGTCAAATGCTTGTCAATCGCTGGTTTCGGATGTGCTCTTTGTGTAGCCGTGTAGTTCACAGCAGCACAGGACGTAGAGGAGGATGGAGGACACCGAGCTATGCTAGCATCTCAAAGGTGCAACGCTGGGGTGCAGCAGCACCAAAACGCCTCTGCCACAGTAATTTGGGGAACTTGTACAAGACTGAGTCTGTTCAGAGGTATCTTCAGCAGCTCATGCAGGAGTACAGAGACCTCAGCAAGAAGTTACAGCATGCATACCTCAGCGAGTCAGACAGAAAAGTGCTTATAAAGAAACACACAGAGCTGCTGCCTCTGGCAAATGTGTTTGAGAGTATTGAACAAGCCCTGAAAGACCTCGAGGAAGTCCTCTCACTTCTGCATAGTGAGTATTTGTGTCAGTAACAGTTAGCAATAGGAAGAAAAAAGGAATTATTTGTTAACGGCAAATGAATAAGGATGTTTTACATATATTCAGCTTACACTTTTAATAAAAAACAGTGTTACAATATGAATGCAATCTGTGTTACTAAGTACAGTTAGTGTATATGTTCTGTAAAAATGATTTCCTGATGACTTTTTTTTATTGTGTCTGAACATTAAGCACGTATTACCAGCTATAAATGAGTTGACTGAATCAAAAGATCTTAGATCACAAATGCCATGTTCTGCTCTCCCTCAGGTTTAGCTGGTGCCAAAGATGAAGATGAACAATTGACCCAGCTGTTGAAAGAGGAGGAAGCATGCATCTCTCGCAAAATTTTGGCCTTAAGAAAAGATGTAAGAACACAAATGCATGATCAAATAGGTGTAGAAATGCGTTGTAGAGCATGGCGTGGTAATGAGAGCATCTCTTTTCTCTCCAGTTGATCAAAGCTCTTGTCCCCTCGGACCCCCTCGACTCCAGTAATATTCTGCTGGAGGTTGTATCAGGACGAACAACAGGAGGTATGAATCTGCTTACTTGAAGATGCTCCCCATTTGCAATTAATTTACTGTTCTGTTTCTTACACTCAAAAATTACCCAGGGGTAAAATCTAGCTGAATGATTGGAAACAGAAAGGCTCCTCTTTGAAATAAGTCATAGTGCTGATGTACCAGTATTTTTACAGGTAGCTTATGATAAATAAGCCATGGCACATGCCTGGATCAACAATAGAAAACAGTGTGTTTTCTTAACATCTGTTTTTGTGGTTGCAGGTGACATCTGTCAGCAGTTCACCAGAGAAATGTTCGATATGTACCAGGGTTTCGCCTCCTACAAGAACTGGGACTTTGAGGTTTTGAACTACACACCTGCAGAGTATGGTGAGTCCCATTTGTGTCTGTATTTCTGTATATCATTCATCTTCTTTTTGTGAAAATGTGTTCAGCAAAAAGTTCTTTTCAAAGCTGAAATTATAACTATTATAATGTCTATGGTACTATGGTAATGTCTCTGTGACCAGTGTTTGCTTCTTTGGTGGCATCATTACATTTTATCCAAAGTGACTTACAATTGCTATACCTGTCAGAGAGGTCGCACCTCTCTGAAACAATTAGGGGTTAAGTGTCTTGCTCAGGGACACAATGGTGGATGGGTCACAGTGGGGGATTGAATCTGGGTCTCTCACACCAAAGGCATGTGTCTTATCCATTGTACCACCACCACCTCATCTTGAGAGTCATGGCTCTGTTAATACTGGCTTGCTACTTATTTCTAGTTTAATGTATCTCTACAGAAACACAGAGCTGTTTAGAATTTACTAGCAAGGACCCTGCCACAACAATATGTAATTTAAAGATTTAATGAAGATTCTGTATGTATATATGATAAGGAATGGATGAATTGATGTAAAGGGGACGGGTATTGGTGGAAGAAAGATGTCGTCTGATAGGCTGGTCTGGGAGGATGTATGAAAGACCGGGCAGAGGAGACTCAGTGTTGGGGTTCTGTCTCGAAAGTGGTTTCACCCAAGCTAGTTACGGACCCCCAGACAGTACCTGGATGAGACATTATAGAGGTGTGCACTAGATTGAATAGTAAGGTATGGGGGGATGAGGGCCACAGGTTGGTGCCAGACGGGCTGGTCTGAATATCTCAAAAACTCCTGATCTACTGGGATTTTCACACACAACCATCTCTAGGGTTTACAGAGAATGGTCCCAAAAAGAGAAAATATCCAGTGAGCGGCAGTTGTGTGGACGAAAATGCCTTGTTGATGTCAGAGGTCAGAGGAGAATGCTCAGACTGGTTGGAGATGACAGAAAGGCAATAGAAACTCAAACAACCACTCGTTACAACCAAGGTATGCAGAATATCATCTCTGAACGCACAACATGTCGAACCTTGAAGCAGATGGGCTACAGCAGCAGAAGACCACACCGGGTGCCACTCCTGTCAGCTAAGAACATGAAACTGAGGCTACAATTCACACAGGCTCACCAAAATTGGACAAAAGAAGATTAGAAAAACATTGCCTGGTCTGATGGGTCTCGATTTCAGTAGCAACATTCAGATGGTAGGGTCAGAATTTGGCGTAAACAACCTGAAAGCATGGATCCATCCTGCCTTGTATCAACGGCTCAGGATGGTGGTGGTGGTGTAATAGTGTGGGGATATTTTATTGGCACACTTTGGGCCCCTTAGTACCAACTGAGCATTGTTTAAAGTGAGTATTGTTGCTGACTATGTCCATCTCATCATGACCACAGTCTACCCATCTTCTGATGGCTACTTCCAGCAGGATAATGCACCATGTCACAAAGCTCAAATCATCTCAAACTGGTTTCTTGAACATGATAATGAGTTCACTCCAGTGGCCTCCACAGTCTCCAGTGAATCCAATAGAGCACCTTTGGGATGTGGTGGAACGGGAATTTCTCATCATGGATGTGCAGCCAAGAAAACTGCAGCAACTGTGTGATGCTATCATGTCAATATGGACCAAAGTCTCTGAGGAATGTTTCCAACACCTTGTTTAAAGTATGCCACGAATAATTAAGGCAGTTCTGAAGGCAAAAGAGGGTCCAATCCGGTACTAGCAAGGTGTACCTAATAAAGTGAAAAGGAACTTTAAATAGAGGTTCAATAATTCAGTGATGGGTGCAGAGCCATTTCAGAGGGGTATGCACGTGACCAGGGGATATGTGACTTGTTAAACACAGGTGTAGCAACTGATATCATCAATTGCTGCATTGCATTAATGTTCTACCTGTGGTTTCTTGCTTTGACAAGGTTAAATGTCTGGAACAACTAGCCTACATAATTAACTATACCATGTTTCCGTCTCAGGTGGTTTGCACCATGCAGCAGTGAGAATAGCTGGGAAAAATGTGTATAGACATCTGAAGCATGAAGGAGGAACACACCGGGTGCAAAGGATCCCTGAGGTGGGCCTCTCCTCCAGGATGCAGCGAATCCACACAGGAACCATGACCGTCATCATCCTGCCTCAGCCAGTGGAGGTACACTCTACTCTTGTCTCTTCATCAGCCTGTGCTTATTAGAGAGATTAATAAAGTATGTCTCTTTGTTTGTGTCCTATGTGTTCACAGTTTGATGTCCACATTGATCCAAAGGATCTTCGCATTGACACATTCAGATCCCGAGGTGCTGGGGGCCAAAGTGTCAACACAACCGACAGTGCAGTGCGTGTTGTTCACCTTCCCACCGGTAAAAACATGGCAGAACAGTTTTCCGGCTACTCCAGACTAGAGACAGTTCTGCTTTCATGCTGTATAAACACCAGGCCTTATTGCTTATCCTCCCAACAGGTATAACAGCAGAGTGTCAGCAGACTCGCTCTCAGCTGCAAAACAGAGACACCGCCATGCGTGTGCTGAGGGCCAGACTCTACCAGAGCATGATGGGTAAAGACACCGAGCAGAGGCACACTGCACGAAAGCAGCAGGTGAGTGAACTTCGCTCGTGGGATTTTACATATGACAACATAATTTTACCATAAAAGTGTATCTAATATTCACAGATCTTTTAACTATGTGTTTATCGCAACAGGTGGGTACACGTTCTCAGTCAGAGAGGATTCGTACCTACAATTTCAGCCAGGATCGGGTCACGGACCACAGGACTGGATATGTTACTAGAGACATAAAGGTACGATATTAAGGGAGTGTAAGTGTGTCTCCAAATTCTGCATAAATCATAGGAAACTGTTAAACCTGTACATTTTTATGTTTGTCATTCTTATCATTTTCAACCAGCAAACTCTGTAAAGCATTTGTCAAACTGATGTTAAAGAGGTGGTATTTGTGCTCATTTTCAGGTTCAAAATCCTATTTAGGGGTTGTACCAGAACAGGTTTACATGGTTTAATTTTCAAAAAACACCATATTTTTTTGTCATACTGCACATTGCTGCAGCTCCTCTTTTAACCCTGTGTTGAAGGCTTCGTTTTAGCCTGGGAGTGATACATCTTATCTCTAAATGATCTTTGTTGGGAGTTGCAGTTCCTAGTTAAGGACTACTAGCCAATCAGAAGCACAGAAAGGCGGGTCAGCGAAAAGACAGTAAACAGCTTCGATTCAGCTGTAGGCTACATGTTGCCGACCAGCTCAGCAACATAGACTGGAGAAAGAGTTTCAGAGTGGTGAGTTATTAATCTGTAACAAATGTATCTTTCATCCATAAAGTTTTAACTGAGCTCTGTCTCTACATCACAGTAACAACTTTATGTCCATTGACTGCCTGGAGGGTAGCTAGTGTTTGGAAGGGAGAGGAGAGGTGTGCTGCAGCTCAGTGTTTTTCCACCGGTGTTTTTGAGGGTGTGTCGGACTAGTCGCTCAGCAAGCATTATTATCATTGTGACGTCACAAAAAGGCTTGGACTACAAACGAGCTGTTTTCAGGCAGTTCAGAGCAGTGTTTTCTGTGGGAGATGGGAACTCCCTTTGGGGTGGACTTTGGGCTTTTTCACTTTGCAAACCTATTCATGGACAAAAAAGATATATAACTCAATAAAGGAGAGGGGAAAAGCCAAAAACCATAATACCACCTCTTTAACAGTCCAGTTTTTTTATTGTATTTCACCCCTTTATACTTCGACTTCCTCTCTCACCAGTTAAAATCAATGTCATGTTCTGGCCCTTGTTTAGGAGTTCATGAGAGGAGAGGAGGCCCTCCATGATCTGATCTCTGACGTACTTGAACATGCAGAGAGGGAGGCTCTGCTGGAGGTAGCGGAGAGCAACAGTGTGAAACCACCAGAGTCTGGACAATCTGCAGACTAACGACCACAACTCACCAACTGTACTGAACAGACAGTGTGTCAATTGGTGGATGCTTTTCTCCAACACATCTTAGTGCTGTGACTGTGTACCAGGGCTGAAATATATATAAATGTATTATTTCAATATTAATATTGCAATGTATGCTTGTGCAATAGTCACATTGCAAATTATGCAATTTAAGACCAACTGCAGTTCACTCAGTTTTATTTTTGTAATAAAATATTTATTATGTATTTTGTGGCATGTTAACTCCCTAAATAATGCTAGAGCTTTATAAATTAGCAATATTTAATTTATTAGCAATATTTAATTTAATTTTAAATGATTAATATTTTAAACTAAAGACATTTTGAAATATCCTGTAGGACTACTCTTTGAGATGAAAAACTAAGTTCATGTACTTCTCAGAGTTAAGCACATGCACTGCATAAAAGTGAGATGAAGTTAAAAGCTGCATATTTACTGAAAATATTGTTTTCTTGACATACATATAAGTGCATTTTACTTAAGCCAAATAAATACTAAGTCAATTCTTCTCAACATATTTTGAGCTTTTGTGCTCCAAGTGGGGAATCTGGTCGTTTAAGTTGTAATCAAACCTTTTGTCCTGGCAGTGTGTGTAACATTGAGTACTAAACAGTAAAGCTGACTTTTTACCTTGAATGTACACAGACATCAGTAGTGTTTATTGTAGCTATCCTTTATGGTTCTTTGCCAATCAGGGTGCGGTGAAACCACCTATCAGCTTAATACACACACACTCACCAAAAGCATGTCCCACCCCGTGTATGTGTGCCTGTATTTGTGGAATTAACTATGATCATTCTTTATTCAGTTGTGGTTGAAAAGCTTTGCCTCCACTCAGTTAAATGTTCAAAATAATTGAACTGACAATGTTGTCACTATCAGGACAGTGAAAAGATATCGATCACATTGTCCTTATTTCCTCCATCCATACAGCTTTATGAATGTATGACGTTTTTAAGTTAAAATATTGCAATGATGTTTCCACAAGGATGCCTTCCTAGATTTTTACAACTTACACAGGTAAAAAAGTTATTTGAATTGCTCTGCCTGCCGACATATTAATAAAACTGGGAAGCTGACAATATTGTGTCCATGGGGTAAGACTCTAAAAGTGTTGCACACCTTCATTATGACAAACCTCAGTACAAAGAAAAGAACATGGATTGTTTCCAATGGTAGACATTTTTAAGATTAGAAAAAAAATGTTTCTTTTAAGACACAGCATTTGAGTTTCTCTGGCCTATTTGTCCTAATACATTTAATAAACTTCAAATATCAAAACAGTGTCCCAAAATGTCAACAAAAAAGTTGCAGGAAAGAGATGTATTTGTGTAAAAGTCTTATTCTGCTGCATTCTGGCGTGGAAGTTTTTATGTGTTTGGGTCAGTCATCGTCGTCGTCGTCTCTCTGCCGGAGGCTCCTGGATTTTCCGTTCTGTGTCTTGTTTTTCCTGAATGAAGTGGGGCCGCCTTCCTCTCCGAGGGAGGTGATAATGCGTTCCCTGAACTTCGGTTTTGGCTCTGGCGGCAGGTCGGCTGGAGCGCTGGCTGTGCTTCCCTCCACCTGGGGCAACTGCAAGTCCACACCGGCACTGGAGAGGAAGGAAAAAGGGAACTGTTAGATACTAGCACACATATCCAGTCTTTATCACGGTCTGTAGGCTGCATACCAATAAGTGGATGAGTCCATGGTCTATCAACCATTAACTACACTTACTATGGATCCTCCTCTTCCTGGATCTGTTCCCAGACCCCATATGGATTGGTAGCTTTTGGTCTTTTGGCTTGTATCTTTCCTTGTGTCACCTCTTCCACTTTCTTCTCCTCTGGTTTAGCTGTCGTGCTTTGGACCTCTTCTTCTTTTTTCGTCTCTTCAGCGTCCTCTTTAGGAGCATCATCACTCACTTTATCTTCTCCTTCGCTTTCTGAGGGCTCAGCTTCCGCTTTCCTTTTCTGAAAATAAAAAACAAGGAGGGAAGCTGTGAGGTCTGGATTTAATCCCAGAATCTTGACAAGCTGAAGTTAAAATTCTTCTTTTCTAATTCTCAGACTGATAGAACTACTCTCACCCTGAAGCTGATCTTTGGGACTGTGGGCTGCTGGCTGGCTTGTTCAGGGACTTCAGCCTCCTGAGATGGTGGGTCCCCACTGGAGCTCCCCTCTTCTCCTGAGAGTGGCTCCGGCTGAGGGGTTGAAGGCTCCTCCTGATTCTCACTCTCTCCGCTGGGCCCAGATCCAGATGCTTCATTGGAGGTAAAGTCTGCTGGCTTCTCCCAGCTGGACTCTGTGAGGTGAGGAAGAGAGCACATGTAATTATCAGACATAGTGATTAACTGAAATAATGGAATCCAGAAATAAGAGCAACGCACACAAAATGTTTAAATGCATTCAGTGGTAATAAAAATTAATTTAAGGTGCATTAAAAAAAGTATACCTCCAGTTTCTGAGTTGTAATAATATTTATAACCATCAGGACTGACGGCTTCCATCCAAGGACAGCCAGAGGAGCTCTAAAGAGAAACACAATACTAACATATAAATGCTTTTAATCAGCAACCAACAGATATAACACCTAGTTTAAAATAAAATTAATATACCAAAAATGCACAGAAACTAAAAAAATGTATAAATTAACCTCAGTCTGTCCGAGCTGTGCTAAGGCCAGACTGTCTCCCTGGAAACCCTCTGGATTGTCCCATCGAGATTCTGTAGTTAAAATAAAAGACAACATAACACCACAACCATGTTGGAAAGAGTCAGTTTGACCAAAAAGTATAAAAATACATATTTGTATAAAAAAGAAGTTATTTTTCAGGTTATCCCCACCTCCAGTTATTGTGTTGTAATAGTATGTGTGTCCATCATCTGTCAGTCCTTCAACCCAAACCTGCGCTTGTGTTTGGTTTCTGGACTCCCTTGCTTTATCTTTCTTTCGCTGTTTTTTGGCCTGGGTTTTGGTCTGGGTTCTGACCTGGGGTCTGACCTGGGGTTTTGCCGGATGTTGTTGCTGTGTTGTTTGGGCTGGTGAATCTGATCCTCCTGACATGGAAACACTTAATTTAAAAAAAATTCAAAGAGCAATAACTTCTCCTGAGTAGCCCAAATATCACATATTATATCAATAAAAAGTCAAACAATTACCTGCCGCCTCCCTTTCCATCCTCTTCAGATCTTCCTGATATGCCTTCAGTGCAGCCTCCTCCATTGCTGCAAACTCTTTAGACTCTTTTTCCTCTTGCTTCGCCTTGTCCATGCTCTTCTTTTTAATCTGCAAAAAGAAAGACAGGATGAAGATGAGTGGCAGCGGCCAGTAGCCAATAAGATGAGAGCTTTAGAGTCAGAGTGTCATGTCTGGACCTTATCTCTCCTGCCAGTCCTGAGAAAGCTGCCAAGACAGGCAAGTTTTTCTTGGCTGTTCATGCCTGTGTGTCTCCCTGACAACCCTCACTGATCAGTATAGATTATGTAAAATTATGTTTTATAGTCATGTAGATCTATGTGTGCTTGTGAATCAGCAAAACATATATTATATATATTTGTGTTTGTGTGTGTGTGTGTGTGTGTACCTCAGAGATTTTTGCAGCCACATTTTCTTTGTGATTCTTCCCTCTTTCATGGAACTCAACGCTCTGCAGTACAAAAAACATGAGGAGATACGTTTTAGCATAACGTGTAGATGACGTTAGTGCTCAGCAACATGAACTGTTCTTTTTGGCGTACTCACGGGTTTATTGTCCGCAATCCAGCACTTGCAATACTGACAGAATTTCCTTGGTTGTGACTTCCAGTAGTCAGCCCTGAAAATTCACAAAACTAGCATTAGCTAACTAAACATAAATGAACTGGGTTAAGTTACCTTTAGCCTGGGCAGCTAACGTAGCTAACTGGCAAAATTCCTGCCCATGGGTTTATTATTTACCTGAATGTGCTGCGTATAACTTACATAAAACTCTCAAGAGTGTAAGTTATCTCATTACTTACATTTTAAATGTTGATGCTTACAATACGAAGAATAATTTAAAACGAACCACACAAAAAGAAAACCGCCTCCCACATTTCAAGAATGACAACACTGTCCACTCGTGATGGCGTCATCGGTTGTCGCCGTGGAGACGAACCCTCATGTTGATATAAGAAGGCGTTAAATAAATGTGTCAAAATTAAAAATAAAAATTTAGTCAGATTACAGGGCCCAGGTGCTAAATTTAGCTGTTGGCCACTATCAATGCACAAGTGCCTCCCAATCTCTTTGCATTGTGTATGTAGTACCAATGAGATTCAAGCAAAGCATAGTAACGTTACACATCAGTGTCATAATATTTTGCCTAGACTTCCAGAAACCAACCAGTACTGCTATTCTGGAGAAATATCCTACCCTGGATATCATGCTCTGGGTCCGCTAAGTGTTAGTTAGTTCGTTTTAATGATAAATCATTTATCATTAAAACGAACTACCATCGCGGCTGCAGTCTTGGTTCCAACAGACGTAAATCGGGATTTTCCCTGACAACTTGCAGTGTTATGAAAATAATTGCTCCTGTTGGCTTGTTTTTTGTGGAACTTCCGGGTTCTGGTTGATTACACCACCAGAAAAACCATTGATACCTCCTCGTTTCAAGTCTTTCAAGTTGAAATACTGGCATTTTGAGCAAGTTTGTCGGTCAAAATTGTCTCGTTTTTTGCTAAAAGTGAGTAAAAACATTATTTAAACTGTATTAGACATTTAGTTTAGTTGCTAAACTACAAGTGAACGAATTTTCAATGAATTTGAACGACGACCTTGGGAGTTTTATTGCCTGCAAAATCTGCTTCCATTGGCTAACAACGTAAGAAGCAGCCAGCAGAGTGTGCTTTAGCCGTGCCGCAGGGTCACACCTTTTGCTTTGACTTCAGTGGAAAACAGAGGACAAAATGAAGTGACTACTTTTGGCTGTCAAATGACCAGTGTTGTGCGATTATTGAAATCTATAAACATGGTCTTGGTATCATTTTAAAGGATATTTCAAGCTCTTTCTATCTGTACAATTTGTTTTAGCATTTAACCATGTTGAAAACAAAATTTTCAATCATGGTAAATTATTTAAGAAATGTAACGTTATTTTGGAACATGCAACATGTAAACATAAAATCTGCAGAAATGATAAAGTTATTAAATTTAGATTGTGACACAGGGCCCTTCTACTTGTTTGAAAAGGCAAGTAGATAGGTTGAAATGCAGAACCTGTCTTTTAGCTTATATTGTGCTCAAGTGGTGTATATTCACACACCCAGGTTAGCCAAAATAAACACAAATGAATTGCAGCGCAATGAGCCTGAGGAGTTTGGGACCCCTCGACAGCCCAAAAAGGAGAATTATTTGCTGCATGCAAAACTGTCTTTACTGTCAATAAATATGTTTTTTCTACACTACCATACACATAACACAAAACATTTCTCGCATATCACTTTTACATCACAGAATATTAGAAAGCGTTTAAGTGTCTTAAACCTTGACTTCCCATATGGTCTAGCGGTTAGGATTCCTGGTTTTCACCCAGGCGGCCCGGGTTCGACTCCCGGTATGGGAACTACATTTTGTTGGTTATTAATTTCACACCTGTGAGAGGCATGGATCTTCCACAAACCTCATCAACAAAGACAATGACTATGTATGTATGTCGCAAAGGCTATATATGTATAGATATGTAAAAATATATAATGTATATATATTATAATACTGTGCCACTAAACATGAATATACTCAACGAGATAGCCCTATAGATGCCCAATATGTTTGTATTTCATCAAGCTTCCCACGACAAATATACTCATTTATCTGAATGTGACGAATACAATACAAGTACAATATCACATATTTCTAAACTCCCAAAGATAATAACTTACTGGAAGGCTTGAGAGAAAATTATAATAGAGACGATTTTTTGCACTGTTGTTGTTGCTAGGACGGTGCGTCATCACTGAGCGCCAAGACAAACGTTACGTTTGATGTCCGCGACTGACCGACCGCCCTTCTTTGGTTGAGCTTGAGCCGCTTTACTGGTGTCGGTAATCAGTTTACTATCCAGTTCTGTGCCGAAGCTCCGGGGCCGCACATGAACGGCACCATGGCCGCGTCCTCACACCGGATAATGCTGGGGCCGCTGGTTGCTGCCATCGACCAGGGCACGAGCTCCACCCGGTTTTTGGTAAGACAAACCTCCGGAGCGTGACAGGAGGAACTTCTCAGAGCAAGACAGCTGTGTTTTATTAATGTCTGGCTCATAAACGTGTTAAAGCCAGCTGGCGGTGTCCTTGGGCGTATCTTCCAGCTTGTGTCTTGCAGCCACAGTGGCGGGTTGTAACCGGTGTTCGACGTCGTTAAAGTCACTGAATAAGCCGTGTGGTCAGTTAACAAATCTGGAAATTAACGGCTTTAAATGATGCAGCATTCAGTGCTCCCAGTGTAAGATTCCAGGGGAAGGTCGGCCTGCTTGTAACTTTATTACATTAGAGAAAAATTATTTGATTTCGCCATACAGAACGCCATTTAAGATTACTATATTGCAATGTCAAAGCATCAGCTCCACTTAGATTTCTGCATTCCGCCAATAAAAGGTAGATAAGCTGAGTTAAATGGATTTGCTTTTCACCCAGTGATAAACATTGCAAACCACAAGTTTCATAATAATGTTAAAGTGTATCTTTTTGCTGCTAAATCATGTAAAATCAACACATTGTAGGCATATTTCCAACTGCAGTAGATTATTTACCACATTGTGAAGAAGAGATGGACAGGACTAAAGTCTGGCAACTTTGTATTCTCTTCAAAAACCTAAATGGAGAGATGGAAATGTCCTTGATTGACCAGGAATAAAATTTACCTGAAACAATAAGTCGATTAATGGATTAGTTGATCTGTAGAAAACCAATCGGTAACACTTTTGATAATTGACTAATCATGTAAGTCCTTTTCAAAGCAAAAAAATGGCAAACATTTTGTGATTCCTGCTTCTTAAATTTCATTTATGACTGAATACCTTGGGGATTTTGGACTGTTGGTCAGGCAACACAAGCTTTTATCCAGGTTTTAAATGTAGAAAGAACAGATGTTTTGGTTTATTTTCTGGGTGTGGCTGATATTCCAGAGCCAAGAGTTTAACAGGGATGAGTCACCTCAAACAACCTGAAACTAAAAGAAGACACAGAATCATGAAGTGCACTTTTGCTCTACTGTCTCTTAACTTTAGCGAATGATTTGAGTGCATTTTTACTTTTCACTGAATATTGATTTTGTTATTCTAATATTTTAGCGTTTGGTTAACAGGCCATGACACGTGCAGAGGTATTTTTAGCTGTGATAATTGTACTGTGAAAAAGGTGATACTGGCTGTGCAAAGCAACACTGCTACACTGCGGTAGATAAGGTAGGTAGATAGGTAAATACTGTTCAGTCTCTTGTCCAGTTGCAGTATTGTTAATATTCCAGTTGTTATTTCTCCTCTCAACATCTGTAATTATTAAAGGTGTGAAAATACACCAGATGCAAGTAAACCCCCTTATTAGTAAATAGTTTCATCAAATAGAACCCAACAAGTCAAGGTAAATGGCTCCCTCTGAAACACTGAAGTACAGGAGTGCCTCTGGGTTGTGTTAGTTCCCCCTTTCTATTCACACTGTACACTTATGAATGTAGGAGTACACAGCCTCAGCAACAACAGTCACGTCAAACAATTCGCAAAGGAAACCATTATATTAAGCCTGCTGTATGCCAGTGATTGCCCCTCTGTGTACAACAAGGAGATCACCACATGTAACTGCTGGTGTGACAGCCACAATCTCATGCTTAATACTAACAAAACTAAGGAAATTATTCCCAGGAATTTATGTGTTCATGACACTGTGATTGTGAATAATAGCGTTACTGAACAGGTGTCCTCCTATAAATATCTGGGTATTTATATCCAGGTTGATTATTTATGTGTTAAAGTGGCCCAAAGAGATTTTGCCTTTTACACTTGAGCAGGGTTAGAGTGACTGCATACTGCTTCACCCTGGATGAATGAAGAATAAAGTGATGAGTTGGCTGAAGTTACATTCTTTCTCTTGTGCTATTTTCTCTTTTGAAGGTATTTAATTCAAAAACAGCAGAGCTCCTCAGCCATCATCAGGTGGAAATCAAACAGAGCTTCCCCAAAGAAGGGTAAGTGGAAAGAGCAGACACAGTCCCTAAAGGTTGTACAGATGCGTAGATGTGATTTGTTGTGATTTTCTTCGTTCCTGGTTTTCAGATGGGTGGAGGAGGACCCCAAAGAAATTCTGCAGTCTGTGTACGAGTGCATGGAGCGGACGTGCGAAAAACTCACCCAGCTTAACATAGACATCTCAAACATTAAAGGTATGCCCACGCACAGGGCTCTCATGAAGCAATACTTGAACGTCAGTTTAATTTATTTCAAAGACGTGTTTACGATCTGAAATCTCTAGAAATGTCTTGCTTGAATTTATCCAGCTATTGGAGTGACCAACCAGAGAGAGACCACACTTGTTTGGGACAAAGAGACAGGGGAGCCCCTCTACAACGCGATCGGTAAAGTTTTAAATCTCTGGACTACCAATTAGTTGTGTTTCCTTCATTATTTGTATTATTTATTATTATTATTTTATTTAACCTGGCAAATATCTGACACTCTGAGCAGTCTAAGACTATTGTATAGTAGTAAAAACTAGCTCCACGCTACCCTCAGTGACCCAATCAAACAGCAGTTAGGGTTGTTGGATTTCACTGATGTTGGTGTTTTTGTTCAGTTTGGCTTGACCTGCGGACTCAATCAACGGTTGAACGTCTGATTAACAAAACTCCAGGAAGGAATAAGAACCACTTGAAGGTGAGCTCTTTTCTGCTCCCGAAGCTTTGTTTAATCTTGTTCTTAAGTTTTGTTCGACCTGTTTTGTTAGATTAAAAAAAAAAAAAAACAAACTTTATTGACAGTTTAAGCATACAAAGAGAGAATCAAACATTAGGCATCACAACAAGAAACATAATATGGCTTCAGTTTCAACAAAACTGAAAAATCACTGTGGTAGCAGGCGTATATAGATTAACTAGATAGAAATAATAAATAGTAACA